AACATCGCTGGAACGAGTTCACAAGACCCCAGAGGGACCATGACTTGAAGCACATACATAATAAAAAGCATGTTAAATAGCCAGTACTTGAGCTCAGGAGACAAATTAACAGACGCCATTCTACTGAGCCAAACTACTGAATTCTTAGAATTGATGCAAACTACGTCATACATACGGGTCTTCGCGTTACTCTTACGACTTCCTGTTGAACTCTGATAAATCCTTTATACTAACCTGAGATCAGGCCCAATTTGAGCGGTTCGTTTCGCCATGCCCGCCGGAAATTTACAAAGCGAAACGAAAATAGAGCCTGATCTCAGGTTACCTTTAGACTTAATTCACTTTTCCTTTGTAAAATGCTGTTTATTGTAAATAAGACGGACCAGAAATGATCGATCATAATGACATAATGGCTTTCTCAACTTCTGTGAGCTGCTTTGTTAACTGTAAGAAGACCTTGAACTCGTCATGGACTTTCGGCTGTCTTGGCTGCCGAAGGGAGGGATCGAAATGCAAGGAATAGGTTTTCTTAGAAAATTAAGACAAAGAGATTCAATGATCGCGTGACTATGGCCCCCCACCAAGATGCTTGCTTTTCATACGGCATGACCTGTTCTTAGAAATTTCTGATGTCCAGCGCACATATTATCATACTCAATCAGGGGTTTTTCCCTTTATTCGGATGATTGAGTCGGCTTCCGAATCCCAGATCAAGCTTAGAGGCCCTGTCCTGTTCAGGGTTAAAACTATAGCCAAAGCATTTTAGGGATAAGGGGTAACGTGGAAAAGGATTGTTAGGATAAGGGATGATTTATCTCTTACAAAAACTATTTCAGTGATCACTAAAATTCTTGGCTGAGGTACTGGCTGGCAGGTGTCCTGACTGGGTCTGATAGGCCGAGGTACCGCAAAACAACCCCTTTAGGCGTTTTGCTAGATCAGTTTATTCTTTCCCTTTGTAAATTAGACTAAGAAGAATGCCACTATTGTAATAAAACTAAATGTTCCAGCTGGATCAATGGTCTTCTCAGAAAAACAGGACGTAGTCGGTGAAACTGAAACGGTATGCATCGCTGGGAATTTTCCCTTCAAAGTGAGTCACACAATTATGAGACTATAAAAAGGTTTCGAAATGAAAACCCTTAAGGGTTAAGCACATTGCAGGATGAGGGGTCTGCTGTGCGCTGTTCATGCTCTGGTTTTCGTCCTAGTTCTGATGTCCTCGCCAGAGAAGAGTTCTGGATTCATTGGCAAGATCCTTGATGAACTGCATCGATTCGATAAAAATGTGCTTAGGAAGGTGTCAGAGCCAGTGAATGACGTCCTCCACAAGTTTGATAAAAATGTGCTCCGACCTGCAGCGGAGCCTGTTAAAAAAGTGCTCCACGAGTTCGATAAAAAATGTTCTCCGAGAAGTAGCGGAGCCTGTGAAGGAAGTCCTACACGAGTTCGATAAAAATGTGCTTAGAAAGGTAGTGACGGCCCTAGGGCTTAGAAGAATTCGCAAAACTTACCAAGAATTTAAGCAAGAAGTTGTTCATTCTAAAGTTACCTTTACCGCTGATTAGTACCGAGTGGAAAAGATTGTTCCCTGCCTCGATGGACAACATGATATAGTGAATGCAGAACAGCCCGTTGAGATTTACTTGGAAGACAGCGTGAAAATTATACAAGATCGATACTGCAGAAAATGTGGCCAGCATTTCTTCAGTGAAGGCGAGCGAAAGGATGAACTTTAAAATGAACGTTAACATTTTTCAGCGACACTGACCCATCATAGATTTTTTGTATTTAGCTATAAGACCTCTAAGTTTGATCAGTTGGGTCGTGAATTTCAGCGCCTGACATCACTCTTTCGTTGTTTTGTAGCTTTTATATAAGAAGTACTCCAGTGTTATGTTGACCAGCTAGTCTTCAGCAACGAGTCTTGGTGCGAGTCGCAAAGATATGCATGTTAATTTTAATAGGCCTGATTAGTTCAAACGTTTTATCTGTATATACCCCTATTTTTTACTTGTAATTAGTTAATTGCAAACGACCCCACAAGCTCATGTAGCTTTAATACTCATCGTTTTAAAATAAAGGCTATCTATCTATCTATCTACGAGCAAAACATTTCTGGAACAGCTCGGCCGGTAACTAAAGACAAATGTTTCGTTCCATAAAAATTCGGTTTCGGAATTGGTACTTGCTTCTAACCGGTGCCATTTCGTCTCTTTTGACGTGTAAACGGGGCTTTTTTAACCGCGCGCAGACGATTTCAAGCCATGAGTATTCAGCTGCATCTAATCGTAGCCCTCTGATATGTCAGTTCCTTGATGTACCTCATCTAATGCCTGCAGGGAGCTTTGAAAATAAAGGATGAAGTGTTGCAAATGGATGAAAAGTATAGTGTCATCCTAAATTCCTTTTAGTTAACATAAATTCTAACAGCTTATATCTTATTTTGTGGTACAAATTAATATATAACGTGCCAATTGTTGTGAAGTATTTTGAAAATTATTTTTAAGACAGATCTATCTTAACTTTTGAGTTTAGGTTTTGTTTCATTAAGTCTTGTTTTTGTCCACGTACTGTTTTCCTGTTTTGATCTTTTGTTTTTTACTTGTACTTGAAGTTATGCTTAGCTCGCGAATTTACTTATTGCCATATTAGGAATGTTACAGGTGGTCGTGTTTGTGGTGTTAGAGCTGACCTTCGTTATTTGGTACTTATCAGTTGCGGCTGTGCGTAGGCTAGTCTATTCCCTGTCAATAGCAAACCTGTTGCAATGTTAGCGATAAGATTATACAATGGAAACTCTTCCGGTCAGCTAACCCAAACATGTCCAGCTTTGGCTATTAAAACCGCTAATATACTTGAACTAGTGGGTAGAGTAGAAGTAGAGAAGTTGGTAGAACCGACAAACTTGCTGTGTAAGTAGAAGTTGTAAGAAGATTAAGAAGAATAAAGGCAAGATGTAAATCAGATTCCTGGTACCTCGTCGTGTAGCGAGCGAGTTGTTCGAACACACCCCCACACAATGCTTGCATCCCTACCTATGTACAGAGTTTCTTCAGAGAGAAAAATACGTTCACCCCAAGAGTTCAGCGCGAGTAGTTCGCTGCAGTGCAACCTCGATATAACGAACCTCTATAAAGCAAAGTTCTCTATATAAGGAACACTTTCTCTACCCCAGTAATAGTAAAATATATATAACGAAACCTCGTCAGTTGTAGCGAACAAATTGTGCCAGTCCCTTGGCCCTTCGTTATAACGAGCTTCCACTGATATCAGTTGTGCGAGCAAGGTGTTGTTGCATAAATATGTTAGAGAAGGCTGTTCTACTTTTTGCAACAACTAAATTTTCCGGCTGAAGCGGTTTCATACCACGTCATGCTTACTAGGGTCGCCGGCACGCTTTGTTACATTGGAGTAACGCGCTATTCTGAAAAAAACAAAACCACTTGTACTAAAAAGCAGAAGAACCAGACCATCCCAAAAACGTAGAGAAGTTGAGTTTGAACAAGTTTATCTCATTGAAAGGATTAGAACAATGCACAATGAAGTTACCGAGTTCTGCCAAGCAGTTCACTTCAGGTCCTTCAGTATAGCAATTTCTGGGTTTTCTATCGTGTTTATCGGGACATAGCTAATTTATTTATGTGTATCCTGGTTTTTAACCTATGATCAGGCATTTTTTAAGCGTTTATATGGAGATATTGAGAGGGCATGGTCTAATTATCGATCTGTTTCTCGACCCTCAAACTTCAATTTAAAAAAGAACTGCGTTTGGCATCCTCAATTGCTTTGGTTTTCACATCGGACCTCATCAAAATTCAAACGACATGGACAACTGAATGGATCACTAAATTGTTGTGAAACCTTGCTTTCGTAACATCTGAAATGCCGGATTACTGTCCCGCAATGGCCTTTGAAAGAAGCGGTTGTAGAGCTGGTTGCAAAGCTGTGACCAGTTTCAGTTGGTCGAGGGTCATAAACACCATTCCTGTCGCCAATCGACATTTTGAGCACACTGTCACAGAACTCTTGATCATTAATTGCTTGGATATTTCAACTGCTCCTTGATCTCTGCTTGAAGAAACTGTTATGCCTAGAAATTTACTCCTATCTGAAGTGATCCATCTAACAGAACTGTGCACTGATATCGTGACCACGCTGAAACCTTCCTCGCGGAAATCATGTTCGTGATTAGGACAGGCGTTTGTCGTGATCAGCGCTAGCATGAAGGAAAACAAAGCCAAAGTTAACATTATGATTGGTGATCGCAGCATTTCTCGATCTGTGTGATAGCTCTCTTTCAATTTCCAAGTCACGATAGGTTAGTTGCCATCGGTGGAAATAAGTATGCAAGCTTTCGATTTGGCTGGGCTCCTGCTTCCGGGCTTATAAGCTACCGTGACGTCATAGCAAAGACATCGTACATCACCGAAAGTATCTATGATGTCTTAGTATAAAAACACTCAGTGCGGGGCTTTCAACAAAAAGACTCATCTGCTTGGTTGAAATCCATTCACTCGGCAGTCCATTGAAAAGGGTTTTAAAATAAACAGATCTAGACGCGCTCCACTAAATAATGTTAATGATGTTAGCTCCTTCAGACAAGGCCAAATTTGAATCACGGCCTTTTTTAATCATATAATCAGGAGCCATAATCAGGCTTCTGATCAGTCGTAGAGAAGAAAAAGGGCATCTTGGTGTCGTTGTCTTGAGTTCTGTAATCGCCTAAAAGAGTCCTCGGTTCGGTCTGTTTCTTTATTCAGCTCTCACTCTCTGGTGAATGCACAGTATAAGCATCGCAAAAACAAAAAAGCAAAACAAAAGATAAAACAGTCGCTCGTGGAACCGCCAGTGCGTGGTTTTCTTTGAAAACCAAGAAGCATAAAATTGACGCGTGACAGGTCATGAATTAAAAGCGTCCTGTTACCTTCCGAATTTTCATAGAACATACAAGGCTTTTAGTTGAAAAGTCCAAAAGTGTGTTGCAAGCGCCAGTCAGAATGAGGGCCACGACTTTTGCTGCCTTAGCTCTTGTCAGTCTTGTATTCTTCACAATTCTTCTAACTTCACCAGACAAGACTTCCGGATTTCGGCTACGCAAAGTCGTCAGGAAGGTAGCGAAACCGGTGGAAAAAGTGGTGGAGAAACCGGTGAAAAAATTGCTGAAAGCCGTAGGCCCCAAGAGAGTTCGCAAGACCTACAAAGAATTTAAACAAGAAGTTGTTCATTCTAAAGTTACTTTCACCGCCGATTCGTACCGAGTGGAAAAGATTGTTCCCTGCCCCGATGGACAACATGACATAATGGACGCAGAACAGCCCGTTGAGATTTACTTTGAAGACGGCGTGAAAATTATACAAGATCGATACTGCAGAAAATGTGGCCAGCATTTCTTTAGTGAAGGCGAGCGAAAGGATGAACTGTGAAACGAACCACGAACGAGACTTAAAAGAAAGGCTGAATTAACTTTTGGCAACACGACGGTAGGAATATGAGTGCGCAGAGACGATCGGCACCTTTTTGTCGGGAAAGAAATAGGTGATGCTTAACTTGATTATAATGTGATCAAATATTAATTAGAAATGGACATTTGTAGCGCGAAGAAGTTAGATTTCGTGACATTAGATTTCGCAGTAATGTAGACAAAGTCCGAGTATATTTACGATATAAAATGATGTAACTGCATGCATTTTCTTAGGCTAAATAAGGTGAAAGAACGCGCGATTTTGTAATAGACAATTTAGATACATTACGATGGGAACTTTTACTGTAAATGTGATTAATGTAAAAATACTGCCTTACGCAAGGATAGTAGAAAAACCACTGTATACTTGGAATGTTTTTAATTAGTTGATCGTTGATCGTTGTGTTACGACCGTTGAATATGTGAGAATTGTACATCGCAGTCGATTTTTGGATTGCATTAAATCGTGTTGTTACATCGAAAGATACAGTCCTCTTGATTTGTTTGAACCACCGTTGAATATGTGAGAATTGTACATCGCAGTCGATTTTTGGATTGCATTAAATCGTGTTGTTACATCGAAAGATACAGTCCTCTTGATTTGTTTGAACCAGCGTAGCGGGGTTAAAAGAATTCCGCAACAGTTTTTTAAAAAATGAATATAGCACAACTTCAGAACAACTCCTGGAACTATTACGAAAATTTGGAATGATTTGAAAACGCCAATACTCGGGAAGTTTTTTAAGGAGTATCATTTGCATGTAGTTCTGATCGCAATCTGTTACGGTAAAAAAAGGAACAAATATGTAAATCATTATACTTCACAGGTGTTTTCAATACATTAGATTCTCATCGTTTTTTTACGAGAACGAAAATAGAATAATGAGTCATCTATATTCACCCATGCGCAAATAACCCCAAAATGATTTTTGAAATTTCCTAACGGCATCGTAGTTTCGAGCAAGTCTCTCCTGAACGATCATGGATCGCTTGTGTTTAACGATACCTGATGAAAGTTATTGCTGCTGAAACTGTTCGCTCTATTGCAAGGTGCATGGTATAACATTAGAACTGTATCAACAACACAGTGAAGACATTCAACTCGCGAATCAATATGGCACGGATTTGAAAGTGTAAGTGCTACAGCTATTGCATTTGCTATATCTCTTGCCTTTCTCTTGTCTAAACGAATTGTCAAAGAGCTGCCAAGTGCACGCACTATTTAGATTGTGAACTTCTTTCTCAACTGAAACTTTCTCAACTGAAACCTTTCAGAGTGTTTTATTTTAATTGACAGTTGTATGTTTTTCCTTTTTCTTTTCCCTCAGTTTTGAGAAGTAACATTTAGTGCATGGTCGAGTGATGAGGATCGTAACGAAGAGAGTTATCAGCTTATATGGTAGAAAAACAGCAAGAGATTTGTAAAGGTAACTATCCAAGTAAAAAGTCACCTTAATCAGGACAATCGTAAACTGACAGAAGGAAAAAAATGGTTTTAATATGGTCATAGAAAACTTGTCAGTTTTTTTGTAGGATACCTAAGGTCACTATAACTTAGTTATGCTAGACTCGATAACGAGTTGAAGTATGATTGATTTTCTGTGGACAATATTTGCTTCTGAGTGATTTTACATTTAGCAATATACTAATTAGTTTTACTAGCATTATCCCTATGAGCAAATAGACTGCTTTATATAAAGTTGTTATTACCTATATGTTTACTTCAATGCTTTTTTGAAATTTAAACACATAAGAGCAAACTGGGACATGGGTGTTAGAGAATAAAGAGCAGAAATTATATCGTGACAAGTTCTCTTCTTAGTCTGCAACCATTTGCTAAAACGGAAATCACTTCCTTTTCGTTGGAGAGTCGTCCAAATTTGTATTTACCTTTGTACTGTTTGGTTCAGTATCATCCCTTCAAATCAATTCTTTCCTTTTCAAAGTGCATGTCTCGGACAAATGAAACATTTAGAGGAAACTCAGGCCCGCGGACAGAATTTTTAAGATACTTGGATTCTCTCCCGGGGAATATTCCCTTAAATACACTGTAAGCCGCATAGGTATGTGCCACCCCAAAGGATATGGTTTTGGGGCTTTTTCGGTCTAAAAACGGGTATACACTTTGCTCATTTTGGTATGGAATTGGATATGGTTTTCGAGGGAAAAAAACGCCGTGTAAGCACGTATTTGTCGTTTCAATTCCAAATTAATGAATAACAAAGAAAAAGAAATATTTGCTTATTCTTTGACATAATTTCTGCCTAGAGACCAGGACTAAAAAAAGGCGGGGAAAATGTCATTTTTTTTGGTCTGAAATAAGGCCAGGAGTTAAAGAACAGGGCGGCTCTAACCCCAACCAAGAAATCCCAGGAGTACCCCCCCCCAAGAGATTTTCTTCAAGTAGTAAATGATGCAAAAAACGGTCAAGGTTTACATACTAGGGCTACACGGGAAAAACGAGCGGACCGATTACGAAATGATTCTAAAACGCAAGTGCCTGTGGTAACAACACCTCCGGCTCCGGCCCTTAGCTTACCACCATCTTTCTCTTTCCTTGCAATTCTTACAACTTACTTCAATGAATTTACGACTATATATCTTTCTCAGTCGAACACATAAGACAAAAACAAATTTCCTCGCTTTGAGTTAGATAATCAATAAAGGGTTAGGAATTATGTACTAGCTAAGGAAACTCGCACGGCTTGTGTTAGGTAATCACTGATTTCAAAAACCTATCACGATAAAATTTTGACTGCCAGATAAAGAGTATTTCAAACAAATCGTATCCAACTTCTTCTTTAAAGAGTTCTTTGTTATGCTTTAACTATTGTTTTTGTCTTGTTAACTCACGTAGGCGAACAATCTAACAGAAGTACAGTCATTAATTGCTAAGTGCGGACCCAACTAAATCGGACGATTTTGAAAACAGTAAGTACTTGTAACAACTCCGATCCCGATCTTTTGTTAGTGACTTTGTGAACTGACTACTCAGGTTCTCAGACTACAGACTTTGCAAAATGGCTCATTTGGTAACTCTTTTCCTCTTTACTTTTTACGCAGTCATCCAGGCGAGTCAAAATCAGTTAAAATCGCTGAAAATACCTTTTTGAAGGCAAAAAGACGACAATATTGGGTAAGGTAGGTAAGGTAGTACACTGTTTATTTAACATTTATCTATATACATAGTTAGCGATATATTGACTATTTTCCAATTGCCCATGCATAATACACTCTGTTTGCCCCCAAATTTTCCATAACTTATTGTCTTAAAATGCTCTTGGGAAAATGCAATACTCCCAGGAGCATTTAAAAACAATGGTTTATGCAGAATTTGGGGGGCACACAGAGTTTATTATGGGCAATTGGAAAATAGAGAATTGCTACTGTAGCTTGCTGTAAAGATGAATTCGAAGCAAACTCATTTACCAACTAGCAGATTGTGTGGGTAAGCTGTGGTATAAACCCAATAAGGAAGTCCTCGTCCCAGGGTCTATTGGTGTCCCGGCCAATATGGCGGCGTGGAGCTGTTGGTTTGGATCTTCCATCGCTCACAGAGTCAGTCATCAGTGTAGCAGTGCAAACCTAATTTAAGCTTAATAGCACCTACAAAAATTTCAAGAAGGGACTCTGCAATATAAAAACCAAAATACCAAAGAAGTCAATAGAAATAGAAGGTCAGGACAGACATCATGACAGGGGGCACCCAACGACGATTTCCTCCTAATTGCGTTGAAATTATGAAAGAATTCTCTTTATCGAGTAGATGGCGAGGATGTTAAAGTAGGCGCTGATTTCAGGCTTTATCTTTCGCACCTTCCTGTAGTTCCCCAAAAAGTAGGTGGCTCAAAACTCGAATTAGCCAGTTTTTAGTAGACTACAGTACTTTTTTAAAAATCTCTAGAAGTGCATTCTAAGCGGGGCTGTAAAATTTGTATCTGTTCGGTCATCCTAGGGGAACTTGAGGCTTTTCGAAATTACAAGGGCTTCATTTTTATTTTCCAGAAAGTATGAGACCGTAAGTTAATTAAGTTCATTTCTTTATCACCTAGAGAGATGCCATCAGATCAGAGGCACAATTTAAAAGATTTGACCAACAAGAAACAAGAAAGGTAAATACAATATTAAAATAATTTTATTCTATTTATATACATTAAGCAGTCTAGATAGCAACACAGGAAGATACCAGAATTCATGATCAAAACAAACTACACTGTGAAATTCAAACTGCATGATAAATGGCATAAGACATAATGCTGCCTCTCTCAAACATGCCAAGGAATACTCCAGTTTTAAACCTGTGAGAGCAACAATTAGGATGCCAGGGCATTATGTTTGATGCCCTATGATATATTCTAACTTTTACATAAAAACTTTGATTAAACAATAATATATACTTAGGGGTCAACTGGAATTCGAACCTAGCAAAGAAATGGGATACACATTTTCTCCCTGAACTATAACGTGCAAAGTCTTATTATATAAGAAAATATACACCAACTCAACTGTTATTCATACTCAGCAAAGAACTGGGACGCAGCAGCTTTCTAAACAATTGAATACAAACTTTAATTAGTTTTCCAAGCATTATCCTAATGAGCAAATAGACTAAAATGGGACATGGGTGTTAGAGAATAGAAAGAAGAAATAATATTGTGACAAGCTGTCTTCTTAGACTGCGTCCACTTACTAAAATTTAAAAAATTATTCCCTTTTTCGTTTACTGACAAGAGTCGTACAAATTTTTATTTAACCGCCTTTGAACTGTTTTGGTTTAATATCAACCCTTCAAACCAATTCTTTCCTTTTCAAAGTGCCTCGACCAAATGAAGCATTTAAAGACACCCAGGCCCGTGGACAGAATTTTTAAGATACATGGATTTTCTCCTGGGGAGTAATCCCCCTTATATAAGCCAACTAGGACTTGGAGAACCGGGGGCACACCCCTGGGATTTCAGTCAC